TTGGAGGCAAGGATTCTGAAGCTTCATCTGACATACTTTGGACATGTTGCAAGGAGGGACAGGTCCTTGGAGAGGAACATCATGCTTGGGAGGGTGGAGGGACAGGGCAGGAGGGGAAGGCCCTCTATGAGGTGGATTGATTCAGTGAATGGGGTAATTGGGATGGGAGTGTCAGAGGCAGTGCGATTGGCACAGGATAGAGCAGGATTTAGGGCTGTTGTGCATTGGGTCACTACAAGTAGCCGGCAACTCGATGGCACATAACAACAACAGACAGAATAATAGGTAACATGATATGACCCTGTCCAGTGGAATTATTGACAATGCTCAGAGTTGTGAACTATGTCATGTGAGTCTACACGAAGCTATTTCTACAGTTTCTAGTCAGCTCCTTAACTGTGTCTACAAAACAGGAAAGCTGATAGGCTGTGTTTTGCTCATTTCTATCTAAAACAAGAAAGTCAGGTACATATTTTACCCTACGTGTAACATGCTCTAGCTCGTTCCTAGGAAGTGAGGACTTCCGTGCAGTCTTGGGTGGGTGATGCTGAACCGTCCACAATTCACACATCTAAAGTCTGCAAGCATTATTCACACACTAGCTTCTGGCTCCGGCCTTTCCAGTCTTGTTCCTGCTCTAGCTCACTGTCCATGCACTTCTGATGACAAAGGCCCCAGGACTTAGGACACGTTCACATGCTGAGACAGTTCTGCCCTTTCCCCATGGATCAGGTGAGCTGACCGGGGGATGCTGGGGGCGTTTCTGGAAGCCAGCCCTCTAGGGAGATGACCAGCAAGAACTTGACTACACACAGAAGTGAGCGTCATCTATGGAAATGGGCCCCTCAGCTCAGTGGGAGGCATCTACAATGTCCATCTATCTCCTCCTGTTGTGATGTTGCCGGCTGGTCCAGTGACAAGGACTTTTGCTTTCTTGGTGGAAGATATAAGCCACGATAAAAATTGAAGTTATCAATATTTCCATTTTACTTGAATTAATACCCATACAAGCAGCCACCGGATAATCAAGTATTCCTTTTAAACTGACATGAGAGTTTGGGAGGAGAACGGCATAAGAGTGGATACATAATTTTTGGACTCATGTACTTATAACTTGTTAGTCAAATTTGTGTCTTCTAGGTTGCAACACCCCCATGATACATCTTCAAGGATATGAACATGTA